ACTCTGTAGCCCAGGCTGGCCTCGAACTCACAGCGATCCACCTGCCTCTGCCTCCCGAGTGCTGGGATTAAAGGCGTGCGCCACCACTACCACCCGGCTACAGTTCTCTCTCTTTTTTAATGTACAGACTTTCTATTAGCTCTGTTCTTCTAAAGAATGCCGTCTGCTTCAGTGGAGACAGCCAGCCAGGGTGGCTCTCTTGGGCTCGGTCATGGGGTGCCCAGCTAGCATCAGGGAGCTCTGTGGGAGATTATGTGGCAGAGTCTTCTTTCTAGGAAGAGGGACAGAAGGGAGAAAGGGCCCTTATTTTACGATGGGCCTTATCTTACCTGGACTGTTGCCTGTAATCACACCCTCTCCACAGGACAAGGAAGAGAAAAGGGCCTGCTGGGAGGGGGGGCGGGGGGGAAGGGGACGGTCGGTGGCCATGTTGCTGACTCAGCCAGTCTGGCATCTGCCTGCCTCTGACCTTGTCATCCTCAAAGAGTAGGGTTTTATTGTTTTGTTTTTCCATTTTCATGAGTACATGTGGTGCACATGTGCGTGTGTGTGTGTGTGTGTGTGTGTGTGTGCGCGCGCGCACGTTTTACATGCATATGAGCACACAGATATGGGGGCATGTGTACGCATGGGTTTGAGAGGCGCCAATCACGAGCTTGGCTGTCTGTGGATCTGTCCCTGTGAAGGTGCCCGCCATTCACTCCTACCTGCAAGTGCCCCTCTGGCTGCTGCCTGACACACGCAGCACACACCTTCCCAGGGTGTCACACAGGGCAACCGACCTCCTTTCTGCCTCAGGCTTTAAATGAGTTCGCCTTTCACCAATGTCTGGCATGGCGCTCCCCTCCCCCCCCCCTTGTGCTTTTTTGCTATGGATTGTGCTGATTAAAATGGCCTGGAGGTGGAGAGTGCCTCAGGCAGGACATGTATGTGTAGAGATTCTTGTGGGCAGGGGCCTCGCAGCCCTTGGCGATGAGCGTAGAGTGAATGCATTGTTCGGACAGGAGGCATCGGAGACACACACACCGAAGCTCCCTGGGCAGATTGTGTATCCGGCTCTAAAATGCTCAGAACCAGAAGAGCCGGAGACTTTGGAATACTTATTTACGTGTTGTACGTGAGATGTCTTAGGGACGTAAGATTCCTTTTACCCCCCTGAAGGTATTTATTTACTCAACAGTGTAATAACTGTGTACAAAGCAGGGTTCCATGGTGTGGAATTTTCCATCTGAGGTGTTAGGTCAGTGCTCAGAAAGGTATGGGTTTGGGCAAGATGTGGTGGTACCCACCTGGAACCTCGGCGCTTGAGAGGCGGAGGCAGGAGAATCAAGAGTTCAAGGCCTGTTGTTTAGATTTTAGAAGGTCATATAATAAAAAACCCGGATATTGGGGTGAAAGCTAAAAGATCGGAGAAGCAGAGCAAGCCACAGCCACCACCTCTTACCTCACCAACTCCTCAGCCTGAAAGAGCTCCAGCCGAAAGGCCTCTAGCCGAATGAGCTTCCTCAGGCTTTAGTTCCTGTCTCCTTACAGCTTATATACCTTTCTCCACCCTGCCATATTTTTTCCTGGGATTAAAGGCCTGTGTGTTTCCCAAGCAAAGGCATGAGATCTCAAGTGCTGGGATTAAAGGTGTGTGCCACCACTGTCCGGCTCTGTTTCTCTCTTAGACTGAGTCAATCTCATGTAGTCCAGGGTGGCTTTGAACCCACAGAGATCCAGACAGATCTCTGCCTGGAGAGTGCTGGGATCAAAGGTGTGTGCCACCACTGCCCTGCATCTATGTTTGATCTAGTGACATGTGCTGTTCTCTGATCTTCAGGCAAAGTTTATTAGGGTACACAATATATCACCTCAAAGGCCATCCTGGACTACATAGTAAGTTTGGACCAGCCTGGGCTACACAATGAGACTGTTCTAAAAGAAAGGAAAAAAAATATGTAAAGAGATTTTTGGGACGTTTATCTTTTGGATTTTGTGACCAGAGATGCTCAACTCGTGTATGTTAAAAATTACTTTTATTCATTTATGGGTTTGTTTATATGTACAGGTCCACGTCCACGCCACGGCACATGTGTGGTCAAAGGGCAACTTACGGAAGTTGGTTCACTCCTTCCGCTTAGGTGCTGGAGACCGAACTCAGGTCCTCGGGCTTGACGGCCAGCCCCCTTCCCTGCTGAGCCATCTTGCTGGTCCCCCAACCTGTATTTGATCAGGTGACAGAAACGGGGTGATGAAGGGCTGGGGCTGTAGCTTAGGTGTAGAAGCCTTGCCAAGGCCATGTTAGGCCCTGAGTTCGGTCCCTCACAGTGCAAAAAAAATTAACAAACTATGTCCTGGGAAACAAAGCCTGGGCACTGGGTAATCCGGTATCTACCGTGTCTGTGGGACTGTTTCTCTGGCGCAAGAAGTCAGCCCGGGTGGCCACCCTGTGAGTCGGTCCCGCAGCCTCTCCTTTGCCCCTGCCTGGACCCCAGTTCTGGGTTCACACACGCGTTAGGTCCCCGTTGTCAGATCACTGTGAAGTTCCATCTGAAAGGATGGTAAACGGCACTGGTGGCGGCACTGGTTACCGCATGGAAAGGTCAGGGTCACGATAGAACCCAGTATCAGTATTCAGAGCTTTATTAGGAGAGAAAGGGGGGCAGAGGGGACCAGACCCGGTGAGAGAGAAAGATGGTGGGGTGGGGGAAGAGGGGAGCAGAGCAGGGAGCAGAGAGTGTGGGGTCTGCATCCGGCTTTTTAAGGCTTGTACGTAGTCGCCAGCGTCCCCGATGACGTAGGACGCAAGACCCCAAGCTTCGCATAAACAGGAGTGAAGGCAGGATCCTAACACCAACCCCATAGGTGCCCAGGTCTCCAAGCCAAAGCTGTGAGAGTTATTATCTAGAACTATAATGCATTGGCATATAGAAGGGACTATTTAGAAGGGACTGGACTATTTCCTGGCTGAGTTCTCTAGGTTTTCCTGGAGCAGGGTCTTGTGTGTTGTCTACTCTAATAAGGGACAGCATCTTCCTGGCATACCGGCCACCTTGGATTGCTAGCCCCTTGAGGCTGCGGCATCACTCACTCCTGAGGGGGCCCATGCCTGAATTAGCCCACCCCTTCTTTCTCCACCCACCTACCCCCCCAGCCTCCTACACCCTGCTTCCTCATTGGCCCTAGTCTCCTTCATTTTGGAACATTTGTTGTGCCCTGGGGCTTGCCATTCTCAGTTTGTCTAGCTGGGGAGTGGCAACAGCCTGGGGCCTAAGGAGACGCCACGCTAGTAGGTCCCTCTCTGCCCAGTTAGCCCGCACCACGCTACAGCATTCTCAGTGATGATAAAGGGACAGAGTCAGAGCCGTGGTTAAATCTGGGGAGGTTGTATGGTGGGGGCAGAGAAGGTCAGGGGAGAGAGGGAGAGACATTGGGAGCCTGGGGGTCCCTCTGCCCAGGAGTGGAGGGACTTGTGCCTTAGAGCTGTGTGTGCATGTGTGTATACATACATGCTAACCACGTCGTTTGGTAGATTGGGGATCTGGGGGCAGCATACAGAGTCTGGGAGACCTGGATTCTTTTGGGTCAGGAAAGATAAGTGTCAAAGGAACATGGCTTTGCCAACTGATGCACAGCTGAGGCCGGGCAAAGACCCGCTGGAGAGATGGGCGTCCCAGAGCCCAGGTCCTAAGAGACCCCAGAGTGGCCCCGGATCCGTCTGCTGTGTCCACCCTCATGGCTGCTCTGTGCTCCCTCTGGCTAAAATGAGACCGGGAGGTAGTCTTAGAGGTGTGAAGCTTGTCTGTTCAGACACAACTAAAGCCTCCCGGGAGGACAGACTAGAGAAGGGAGGCCGTGGACCATGTCAGCTGAAAGCATCATGGGTACCTGAAAGAAACGGTACAGTGCCCTGAAGGACCGTTTATGTCTGTCTGTCCCTTGCATCAAAGTACTTGGGGAACAGAAGGCAGAATGGTGATGGCTGTAACATCTGGCTACAACTGTATTTCTGCTTCTGTCGGGGATTGAAGTTTTATGCAGAAAATGTCTTTGATACATGCTTTCATGGAAATTTTTGTTTGTTTGTTTTTTGATTTTTGTTTTTTGAGACAGGGTTTCCCTGTGTAGTTTTGGTGCCTGTCCTGGAACTCACTTTGGAGACCAGGCTGGCCTCCAACTCACAGAGATCCGCCTGCCTCTGCCTTCCGAGTGCTAGGATTAAAGATGTGTTCTCTCGGGCTCAGGCAGTGGTGGCACACGCCTTTAATCCCAGCACTCAGGAGGCAGAGACAAGCAGATCTCCGTGAGTTCAAGGCCATCCTGGCCTACAGAGCGAATTTCAGGACAGCCAGGGCATTTACACAGAGAAGCCTTTTCTCAAAAAGCAAAAAAAAGAAGAAAAAAAAAGATTTTATTTTAAATTGTGTGTATCTGTGTCTGTGTGTAGTCAGGTGCACAAGAGTGCAGTTAGTTACCTGTGGAGGCCAGCAGAGGACATCAGCTCCAATGGAGTCAGAGGTAGTTGTCATGGGCGTCGGGAACTGGATTCCACTCCTCTGGAAAAGCAGCTGTTGCTCTCTTAACTGCAAAGCCATCTCTCCAGACCTGGAAAATTATGCCATAAAATATTTATAACAATAAAACAGGGGCAATAAAAAGAGTGCACTTTTAGGGGACCAGCAAGATGGCTCAGTGGGTGGAGTCTTGCCACCAAGCCTGACAATTTGAATTTTATTCCTGGAACCCACATGATAGAAAGAGAGAAATGACTTCTATAAATTTTCTGACCCACATGTGTGCTGTGGAACACACACGAGCAAACACACACACACACACACACACACACACACACACACAATAAGTGTACTTTAAAAACAAATTTGTTTTGTTTTCAAGACAGGGTTTTCCTATGTAGTCCTAGCTGTCCTGGAACTCACTCTGGAGACCAGGCTGGCCTCAAACTCAGAGATCTGCCTGCCTCTGCCCCCAAGTGCTGGGATTAAAGATGTGTACCACCACTGCCTAGCTTTAAAAACAAATTTAAAATATGCTTTTAGAAGAAAATACTTTCTAAAAAAAAAATGTAATTCCTTCCATAAAGAAACCAGTCCTTTGGGTTTTCTTAGAAAATGGCAAGTACAGAGAACCTTCCAGATCCCCAGTCCCAGCCTGCCATTGAGACCAGTAGGAATGTCTCCTTGAGGCCAGTGCAGGGGTGCAGGGACCCCTGATCCTAAGCATTTCTTTCTAGACCTGTCTAAGCCATATTGTCCTCTTAAGCTGGGGCTGCTGTCAACCCTGAAGAGCTAACAGTCTGCCTACTTGGTGACTTTTGTAGCCGGAAGTTCCTCCGGTCCTGCCTGGCCCTGCGGTCAGGATAAATCCCTCCCACCTGAATCCCACAGCCGCTTGGTCTCAAGTAAACACACAGAGGCTTCTATTATTTACAAACTGTATGGCTTATAGGTCAGGTTTCTTGTTAGCTAGCTCTCATAACTTAACTCAACCCATTTCTATTAATCTATACATTGCCCCGTGGCCATGGCGTTACCGGTCTGCTGGCATCTTGTTGCTCCTTGGGCGGCGGGCTGATGTCTCCACGACTTGCCCCTTCTTCCCGCTGTATCTCTGCTTGGATTTCCTGCCTGGCTCCATCCTGCCTTGCCATAGGCCAACGAGCTTTATTTATTATCCAATGGGAGCCACACATATTCACCGCCTACAGAAAGACCTCCCACAGCAGACTTTAGACTCCAGTCCCTGCTCAGAGCGTGGCCACTCCACTGTCTCTTTCAACCCCACTCGCCCTGAGAGGCCAGTGCCTTCATCCACTCCATTTTACAGATGGAACACTGAGACCCAAGGGGAGTCCGTCCTCTGTGTCATCACCTGGGTGGACAGGGCTGAGGCCTTGCAGCAGCCTGAGCGTGTGGCCACAGGATTCTGTTGTGTTTCCTCTTGGGTACCTTTCTCAGCTTTGATGGCCTGGGTTTGGCCATCTGTGTTTGGCACAGAGGCCCCCTTCTCAGGGCAGCCACAGGGGTGTCCCTCCTCGCTTTCAGCTTTCTTCTTTTGAAAGCAGCTGGGTTCTCTCGAACTTTGACATGTTCCTCTACTCTCCTGGGATGGAGCTACAGAAATACATCCCAGAGGATGCCTGCGAGCTGGACTCGCGATCAAAGAACTGCTCATTCACACAGTTCACTGGGGACCGAGCGGCGCTCGGAATGGCGTTAGTCCTACCTGCAATCTCCTCCCCCGCTGCATGACACATAGCCAATAAACGGCATTTGATTCCTCTCCTGGCGCCTCTTGCTGAGCCGTGTGTGCTGCAGGCTTTCCTTAAATATTTACTGAAGGAGCAAATCTGGCTGCAGTGTCTGACGGAGCAGGAAGAATCTGTTGGAGAGCCTCCGACACCACCATGGAAATGCATCGCACAAATCAGTGGCCATCTGTCAGGCTCTCCGAAGGACCAGAAAAAAAAAAAAAAAAAAAAAAAAAAAAAAAAAAGCCATCAACTTCCCCAAAATAGCAGCGGCAGGATTTCCTGGAGTGGGCAGGGCCGGCGCCGGCTCTAACTGAGAAATGGGACCAGCAGGCTGTCCTGCACTGGGGACTGGGGACTGGGGACAGCCCTGCCAGGAGTCCAGATGCTTTCCTTGTGGCTCCGTGACAGCTTCTGGATGGGAGGAAATAGGAGGGCGGAGAGGATTCTCCGTCCGGATGCTGCAGGCAGGAGGAGAAACTGCCACTCATCTCTGCTCGGCCTCTGCCCAGGTCGTTCACCACGTCTCCTGCTGGTCTCTTCCCTGTGCACCTTCCGGTGATGTGGTACGGTAGCTAACCAGCTGGCTTCAAGTCCAGGCTCCCACATAGGTCCGATGCGTGACTCTGGACCCTTCCTGTGCCCCAGTTCTTCATCTGCACCATGGGGCTAAGAGGAACCATTTTCCAGAGGGGTCTGTGAAGAAGGTGGGGACAGCCAAGAAAGAGAAAACATCATCTGGTGTGACGGCTCGCCCTTGTCCCAGCGCTTGGGAGGATGAGACAGGAGGATTACCATGAGTTCCAGACCAGTCCTTTGAGACTCTTCTCAGAAACAAAAGCAGGACCAAGGAGAAGGCCCAGTGGGTGTGTACGCTTGCCACCAAGCCTGATGACCTGAGTTTGATCCCCAGGAACCACATAGTGAAGGAGAATACTATCTCCTACAGGTTGTCTTCTGATCTGCACACGCACACACACACACACACACACACACACACACAAACACACACACACACGTGCATGCATGCACCCCCACAAGCATGCACACACAAAACTGTAATTTAAAAAGCAAAAACAAGGACATTAAGCATTTACATAATATATGTTTGCTGCTTTTATACCCACACCCAAATAAGGCACGATCCTCCCCCTGCCCAGAGGCTCCCTGCTTCCCAGCATCCACTGCAGCCTAAGCTGCAGCCATCCACACACTGAACTGCCGGCAGTTAGGGGTCTGCTAACCACCTGTAACTGGGAGTATGTGTGCAGTGGCCCCCATGACTCATGGGATTCCTTCTGTGACCCCTAGGAGCTGGTGGCAAGGCAGGCCACACAGAACCCTGTATGGACGTGTCCCCTGGTCTAGCGTGCAGGGTGTCACACACATCAGAGTTCTCTCCTCCCCCTCCCATGCCTTGACCCCTCTGCATCCCTGTTCTTAGGTGTTCGTAAGTGAAACTTGATTCATCATGGCATCCCAACGATCAGTCTGTATTCAGGGATGATTCAGGGATGGAAGCCCTGAGGTGGCTTCATTCTTGGGCCTGAGAGTGGCCACCTGTGCTTGGGGTTCCCATGTGGTTTTGGTGCCTGACATGGAGGTCTCTGTTAGGTCTTTATTGCCGTGACAAATGCCAGCACCGGATGACTTCAGGGAAGATTTGGTTTGACTCATGGTCTTGGCAGTTTGGGTTCCTGGTCAGCTGGTTCCAATGCTGTGGGGTGACTCCAAATAGCCTTTGGAGACTGTGGGGAGGGGAGCTGCTCACCTCATGGGGGGCAGGAAGTGGAGAGACAGTCAGGGAAGGACAGGACAACTCCTAGCCCCCAAGGACCTTCCCCCAGTGACCTGCTCCCTCCAACAAGGCTCTGCCTCCTCTCAATCCCATCACCTCATGAACTAGACCCTAAGAAGGACACAGTGCCTATCCCCTAGGAGTCCTGTGGTGATATATTGTGCACCCCAATAAAACTTATCTGGGGATCAGAGGACAGAGCCAGCCACTGGATTAGACTTAGAGGCCAGGCACACACCCTTAATCCTATCACTCGGAAGACAGAGATCGGTGGATCTCCGTGAGTTCAAGGCCACACAGGGAACAGAGCCAGGTGTGGTGGCACATGCCTTTAATCCCAGCACTTGAGACCTCATGCCTTTGCTTGGGAAGCACACACCCCTTTAAATCAGGAAGTAATATGGCAGGGCAGAAAAAGGTATATAAGGCGTGAGGAAACAGGACTCACTGTCCTGAGGCTTTCTAAGGGGTAAGAACATGGCTGGCTTGCTCTCTGATCTTTTAATTTTCACCCCAATACCTGGCTCCGGGTCTTTTATTAATAAGACCGTTTAGCAATTCGTGTTACAGAGTCCAGTTCCCACCAGTTAGTGTAGACCAGGAGATGTGGCCCTCATCACCACATGGCCCTTGGCCCTTTGTGATCTGCTCCTGCCCACGACTCTGGAGCCCACACTTGCCCCAGCCTAATCAACCAGGACCACAAGGGAACCATAGCCCTCTCCCTGCACTGATAGGGGCCAGTGTGACAGGCGCCAGGCCGGGCTCCCTCAGAAAAGGTACAGTAAGGAACAAGCATGGACACCTCTCTTCTCCATTGGTCTCTGCGCCCTTCCACCCGACCCTGTTCAGCCACCGGACATCTGGGACATTTATTTGTGTGTTCTCTCTCCACAGCACACTATCATGAACTCACTGTCAGAAACGTAGACAGACACCGTCATGTGTTTTTCTTAATGTCATAACAATAAAATTACAAGCTATCTCAGCTCTGTCAGCTGCAATTTGCCAAATAGTCTCAATTTCTCTCGAGAGATGGCTGAGGCGAATCTAGGTTCTTTAACTCTGAGTATAACTGTTGATATTAGCTCTCGGATCACATGTACACCACATGGTAGATCAATAAATCCATCCATCCATCATCTATCTATCTATCTATCTATCTATCTATCTATCTATCTATCTATCTATTTATCTATCTATCTACCTATCCATCTACATCTGTCTACCTACATCTATCCATCTATGTATGCATGTATGTATGTATGTGCCTATCTATCTTCTATCTGTCTGTCTATCCATCTATCTATCTATCTATCTATCTATCTATCTATCTATCTATCTATCTACCTACCTACCTACCTACCTACCTACCTACCTATCTATGCAGGCTACAGAATAGTGCAAAGACTTAAACAATCCACAGCAGAATTCAAGAAGCTTCAAAGAGGCATGAGAGGCAGATGCCCAAGGCTTATACAGCGGAAAGAGTCCTTGTGGGGATTAAGAGGAGGAACTGGCCTGAGGTCTGCAGGCAGTGCCAGTACAGAGTCCAACTGTAGGGCGGAGGTTAAGCTGAGTCTCAGGGTCAAGTCAAGATGTGGGACCACAGAGGATGTAGAGTCAGGGTCCAAATAGATAAATGGGCAGATGGATGGATGCCGTTAGTGTAGGCCCAAGCTGAATGCAATCTCTTCTGAGATGGTCGGGAGTTCTCTGCCTGTAGGACTAGGTGGTCAGAAGACAGGTTGGTGGGGTGGTCACTATCTCAGTGTTGGGGTCCTCCTCTTTGTGGGGTCCGGGTGAGGAGTCTGCATCCTGTCTTCCATCTGCATGTCTGATATGTTTTCAGACTTAGATTTCCTGGAATGATTTTAATTGCCCATGTGTTCATATGGCCCCAGTTTACTTTGATAATTTGAGGGGGCAGAACCGTTTCTACCACTCAGAATCGGTCATTTATCAGTCTGAGTCATGGGTGGCGCTGGACAGTTGGCTCATTCACGTCTCCCAAGCAACAGAGTCCACTGAATGGAGTGAAACACAGCTTGTGAGGTGGGAATCGGGCCTGAAGGCCACTGTGTTGCCCAGCTTGGACTCAGAAGGCACAGCCTGACTGCCAGCAACGCCCCTCCCTTCCTGGCTACTGAGGGCCCGGTTCTCCCAGCAGTCCTTGGGAGAGGCTCTCTCTGATACCTGCCTGGCTCCCAGGGCTACAGACAAACAGCCCTTCATGTTGCTCCTGAGTAAACGCGGCCAACCTGGCTTGCCCAGCCCCACAGAGGTGAGAGAGTCTTCTGTTGGCTGCTCCCTATGGGCGACTGGTTGGGAAAGAACACAAAGGACCCAGTGTCTGTCCCTGGACGCCAGCACATGCGCAGCCCCTGCCTCTGGACGGCTTTATCAGCCACATGCAGCTCCGGCCTTGTTTTCTCAGGTGTGGGGTAAACCCATGGTCTCTGGTGGGAAGGAACCAGCGGCCCCGCCTGAAAGAGCATCAGCCATCAGCACAGACGGAGCTTGTCATGTGAGCCCGGGGGCAGACCAGACAGGCCAGTCTCCAAACACCACAAAGTGCCTTCTTTCTCCTCCATCAAAGACCTGGGGCCAAGGAGAGGCCCGGCCCAGTCAAGCTTTGAGATGTCAAGAGCGAGCTGGCAGGATGTGGTAGCTCCTGCTGCCCGGCAGGGAACACAGGAGCAGTAGTGTGGGGATGGGCATAGGCGCTGGGACCTGGCCCAGAGGAGGGAGGAGGACACTGAGCCTGCAGGCTGGGTGGGCCAGAGAGAGGCGAATGGGCTCTAGGGAAAAGGGATAGGTTCAGAAATCAGGCAGAATCATCCACTGTCCCATCCATCCATCCATCCATCCATCCATCCATCCATCCATCCATCCATCCATCTATCCATTTACCCATCCATTTGTCCATCTATCCATCCATCCACCCACCCACCCATCCATCCATCCATCATCCATCTATCTGTCATCCATCCTTCCATACATTCTTTTATCCATCCATCTATCCGTCCATCCTTTTGTCCATCTGTCCATCCATCCATCCTTTTATCCATCTGTCCATCTATCCATCTGTCCATACATACATACATACATCTACCAATCCATCTTTCCATCCATCCATCCATCCATCCATCCATCCATCCATCCATCCATCCATCCATCCTTTTATCCACCTGTCCATCTATCCATCTGTTCATCTATCCGTCTGTCCAAACATACATACATACATACATACATCTGTCCATCCATCCATTTACTGATCCTTTTCTCCTCCCTTCTATCCACTCATCTGTTTTTCCTTCTATCCTTCCTTCTTGCCATCTACCCAAATATCCACTGGCTCTTCCCTTCTTCCTCTGCTTTTCCTTCATTTACTCTATCTTATCCACCCTTTCATCCTCCCTTCCTTCCTTCCTGCTGCCTATTCATCCATCCCTCTATTCATCCAGCCCATGAAACAGTGTTGGGCCCCCTCTTTCCCCATGATTGAAGGGGACCCCCCCCCCACAAGCCTAAATACTGTGAGTGCCACACTGCCCACATGGAATCTGCAAGTGCTTTTCCGTGACATGCGCATCCAGTCCTGGAAAAGAGCCCACCCCCGACTCCCAGGGTCACTCAGGGCAAGTCAGCGGAGCTAGTC